TAAAATATGAGGTATCAAGAAATAATATAGTCTCCTGATAAGTTTTTATTTTTTTAACGGGGCTGCGACCTGTTTAAAAATTAATAACTAACATATAACACGTGAAGGCGCTCTCTCTTCAAAATATTTTTTTTTTTGTTAGGTGCTGTATTCAAAAAAGTGTAAGGCTGATGCTTTTTTTGTTTGCATATGTGAGCAGACAGAATTTATGAATCAGCTGCGCCTACTTTGATGCTTTTATTTCATTAGGTTCACGTACATATGTATGTAGGTACAAGTACTTTAGTATCTACATATGTATGTGTGTACATTAGGGTGGTCTAAAAACAGTAAAGTCGGAATTGTAGTGCTCTCGCCCCCTAGGATTGTTCTATATCGAAAAAAAGTATTCCCCAATTTTTTTATTTTGAGGTCGCTCAAAGCGATCAAAATTTTCCATGTATTTTTATATGGAAAAAAAACTACTTATCGTAGAAATGGCATACAATTGTGGAAAATCAATATTTTTCGATCGCAAAGCTCTGGTTCTCTTCAGGAGACTTTCAGTAACAATACTTAATTGTTTATTTAACAATTTTTTAATATTAACGATTTTTTATTGGTTCTCCCTTTGCATTTTTCGGGGTTTTTGGTTGGCCTATAAATTATATTTAGTTGCGATGAAAGAATGATTAAATAAACAACTGAGAATCTCCTGCAGAGGAGCAGAGGAGAAAAGTATTGATTTTTAAGAATTATATACCATTTCTACGAAAAGTTGTTTTTCCCCATATAAAAATACATGGAAAACTTTGAGCGCTTTGAGCGACCTCTAAATGTTTTTTGATTTCAAAATAAAAAAATAAGGGTATATTTTTTGGTATAGAACAATCCTAGGGGTTGAGAGCATACAAATTCCGACTTTACTTTTTCACATGCATTTTTGGACCACCCTAGTGTACAGGCACCCAATATAATTGTTCTTAAGTGTTCAGTCAAAAATATTTGAAACACAAAATTCAAATAAAATACGCTTACTTCGATGTTTTTGTTTAGTTTGTCCTCTTTCAGACACGTCAAGTCTTGAAAGCAATTTTTTTCGCATTATCTTTTGTGTTTTCTATTTGCTTCCACAAGCGTCAACTTTAATTGAATTCAAGTCCTTGGTTCTTAAATGGGAAGTAACGAAAAGATCAAAAGAGACAAGAAAACTTGAAACGAATTGACGGTACGGAGGTATCTGTACTCTTCCCCTCTCTTCCCACCACCTTCGTCAATGAACGAGCAGACTTGAAAGCAAGACTTGACGTGTCTGAAAGGGGACTTTCTTCGCGTATTTCTTCCCTCTTCTCTCCCTCGCTAATTTGAATATATGTATGTACATCTATCTATACATAGTATAATGGAAAGTGGAGATTCCTTGTACGCGGTAATTTCGAGAACTTCTGAACGGATTTCCAAGAGATTTTCTCTAATATATTCTGTATCGATAAGAGAGTGTCCTTTTTCATTTACAATTTTAATAGGGTTGCCACATGTTAAGAAAATTACTACATTCAATTCTAATAAGCGTAGGCGTCAGTTCTGCACCGTCACTGTCAAATGAAAATACTTAGCCTCTGGATGTGTGATAAGGTATTCTTTTTCTGCGTAGGGTTGCCACCTGTTTAAGAACTATAAGAAGTTCACCGTTCGTAGGATAAAAAATCAAATACCAAATGAAAGTGCATGGCCTTTGCATGTACAAAAACTTTAATTTTTTTGAGTAGGGTTGCCACCTATTTAAAATTGCTATCTTCTATACATAGTATAAAGGAAAGGCGAGATATTTTAACCATGCTACTGGCCGGATTTAGACAAGATTTTTTATATATATAATAAACGAAGTACATGATGACATATGATTTCTTTCTCCAAATAGGTACGTAAATGTAAATTTATATGCATACATTCAGCGCGTGGCGAAGCCTCGCGCATCCGTGGCCGGCTAGTTGGGTTATAAATTTGGTTTATACTTAATGTACAGTACTTCTTTTTTCGCTCTTGTACTTCGTACTTCGAAGTACAGTCAAATGTGCTTCTTTGCGATATTTTGTACTTCAGTAGGGAAATTCTGTAACCAGTTAGCGACAATTTTCGGATCGCTATCGCACTTTTTGACGCATGATATAAATGTTTTTGCGTCAAAAAGTGCAATAGCAATTCAAAAATTGTCGCTAACTGGTTATAGAATCTCTCCCCACGTCCTGTACTTCTCCGATCATCTGAACGATCTCACATGGCCTGGGCGATAAATTCGTTCAAACCATTAAAGTCGCTGGGGACCGATGGCATCATACCTGAGCCGCTGCAAAGGGCTCTGAAGGTGTCGTGCAATTGGTTGGATCCTATTTTACAAACTGCGTGAGAATCGGGTACATACAAAGGCTTGGAGGGTACTCAGTGTTGCGTTCATCCCTAAGGCCGGAAAAGGCTCTCATGTTTCCCCTAGGGATTTCAGGCCTATCAGTCTCTTCGTTATTGCTGAAAACGCTTTTGCTAGAGAGACTGAAAGACCTGTACCTAAGAAAGGCAATTCTTCGTGACTGTCTTTCAAGAGCTCAATATGCTTGTTGCAAGAAAAGGTCGGTGAATACCGCCCTGCACACATTGGTAAAGTGGTTGGAAGAAGCCTTCACGAAAGAAAATTATGCAGTAGGGGCCTTCTTCGATATCGAGAGGGCCTTCAACAATGTCACTTCAGAGGCAATAGTCAAGTATGTTCATAATATGGGGGTTGAAACCAACCTAATAAGGCTTATCTACAGTTTGCTTCGTGACGTATTAGGCTAAGGAAACTGGGTCTTTTATGACATAAAAAATGGAAAAGAAGACATTTGTCTGCTGCAACAAATGTTTTTATAGGGAATTTTAAAGCACGCTACCTCTCAAGGGATAGTGATGAAGGTTCTGACAGGCCATTGTGCGATTGGTATTGATGCGGTGAGATTAGGAATTTCGACTGATCCTTTTGTATCAGCTGTCAAGTGGAGGATGAAGTGGAATCATATCCACACTTTCTTTTAGACAGTCCAACCTCCGCGAGGCTCAGGGATCGAAATTAGCCGCATTCGAAATTTCGTAATCGGCTCGCGGCGTTAACTTAACCCAACCTAAGCTGTACTTCTTTGAGCTATGAAATAGTTGGTCACATTATTTATACTACTACAAAAGACTTAATAAGTGGTACATCCCAACCAGCATTAGATGAAATTATTGAGTATACATATATAAAAGCAAATCGAATTTAAGATAGGTAAGTAACGTTTTCACGCACCTTTCCTACCTTTTAATTTTAATACTTTTTTAAGGATTCTTTTATGCATTAAAAAATAACTCTCAAGGTAGATTTACTTATTTCATCGTATAAGCAGAGCTGTTAATAAGTGAGGATAGATATAAAATATCTGAAATTACCTTACGGCAAAAAAATTTGGCATTATCTGCAATGTTGCATGAAATATTATCTAGCTCTTTTGGGAAATTTAGATATTAGGATGGTGCTTTAGTTTGGATCTTTTTTAGTAGAAATATGAACAACAAAATGGTTAAAAAGTAGCTTAGCGTCCATGAAAGCACAATGGAAGCATACACTTATTTGTGATAACGCATGATGTAGTCATGAATAGGGAGGTAATAAAATCTCCTAATTCTTAGAGCTCCTTGTTATAGTTTATAGACAGATAAACTACTCGCTTTAATGCTGCTGGTACCGCGTGTCGCTTCAATTGGGCACATCCGCCCCGAGGCTGAAAATTTTGTGCCGAAATGTGGTTGGAGCAAACAAAACAAACAACACCTTTGTGAAGTTACCATGCACATGGCCATCCCGAAATAAGCACCTAATCGTACTATATAATGATGAAAAGAATTGCATAAACAAACGGATTCTCTATTTGCATTACACAATGTTATATAAACAGCGTGGCGACGAATAACTGTTACCCCGGGTTTTTTGAGAAATAACAGGGCCCTTTATAGATTTTGCGAAAAAAGTATTTTANGACAGTTTAAGACATAAAGGACAAAATGCGTCTTTATCTTGAAAAAAGTTATAAAGGACAGGCGGTTAAAATAAAGGACTGTCCTTTAAAATAAAGGACGGATGGTCACTGTACTCATATACAGCGTGGCGACGAATAACTGTTACCCCAGTTTTTTTGAGAAATAAAAGGGTCCTTTGTAGATTTTGGGAAAAAAGTATTTTATTGTTAATTTTCCACAGATTTTACTTTAGTTGAATTAGTTAGTTATTAAATTTTAATCCTATTTACATTTGCCAAAAGTTTGAACTTTGAGAGAAAGGTTCATTTGCAACGCAAGTCTTTTTTAGGTGTAATTTTTCTTAGGCTTTGTACAAAAAAAATACAAAAAAGAAAAAAACTTTATAAGGTTGGTCGAATGAATCGCCGTCCTAGTCACCAGTTCCGAGTCTATTCGATTTTTAAGTATGAGGCCTTATGTTGGACAAAAGGGGAAGTATAAGGGACTCAAAATGGAGCAAGTTTGCCTATGGTTACAGAAGATATGGAATAAATTAACTGGCGAAGACCTGCATGCCAAATTAAGTTTTGTCTCAAAGTTTACACTGCTGGCAAATGTAAATAAGGATTAAAATTCAAAAACTTATTAATACAANGCGTGCCAAATGAACTTTTCTCTCAAAGTTTAAACTGCTGGCAAATGTAAATAGGGATTGAAATTTATTAACTAATTAATACAACTAAAGTAAAATCTGTGGAAAAATAACAATAAAATACTTTTTTCGCAAAATCTATAAAGGGCCCTGTTATTTCTCAAAAAAATCGGGGTAACAGATACTCGTCGCTACGCTGTACAAGTATTTTACTTGTATTCCGTTTTATATTTAATTCTATAAATAAATCACTGAAAGCTCGCTACAAAATGATGCTCTTATAATTTTTAAAATATTTTGAATTATTTTTTTGAAGTAAAAAACCAATTTTTTAATTTCTTCAAAGAATGTGGTAGCTTCAATTTAAAAGCGAAGTTCACGTCAAATGGGAGCAATGCCGAATAAGAAGAAGAAATGAAACTACCTTTAAATATTTGTATCATGTATAACACTACTTATTCAGTAAATTTGGTTAATTAGAAAATAATATAGGTCTGGGGGGACTGGGATCTTGGACTAAAAAAACATAGGTCATATTATAAGAACAAACATTAAAATAAAATCAACGCGATTTTTTTTGCAACTTAAAACTTGCATTTTATTACGCTAAAATCGAATGGGCTACACAATTTCATACCGAAAATATTTCTTGAAAACCGATTTAAAAATTTGCAAACTTGGTGAATTTTACTGAGTATTGGACAAAGTTTAGACATTTCATTTTTACGTTATTTGTTGTAATATGAGCTATTTTTATAAAAAATTACCGCATACAAATTAAACATGTTAAATTTAAAAAATACATCTTATGAATTGCGCGGACTGTTTGTCGTCTAAACTTTGTGTAAAATTCACTAAAATTCAATAAATACACATAAATATTTGGAATTTTTTAATAACATATCCTAGAAAAATTATAAGTACACACATATGTATGTATGCAGTTCTATAGACAATTTATGTATCTTGCACTTTGTTATATTCAAAGTGTATAGTATATAAACTGCATACTTAAAAAGTTTCTCCGATTAAAAAGTTGCAAATATTTATTAAATTTTCCTAAGTTTTGCACAAAGATCAGAGATTTCATTTTTGAGCTTTTTGCTACCATATACTATATATAAGCAATTCGTTTAAGTGGTTTTACCCACGATACTAAAAGAAGTTAGTTTAATTTTAAAATTTTTGACAAAAAATAAGTTTTTTGAGGTTTCATAAATTACAAAAATTATGAGCTACCTTGGCAAACTGATAGCAATCAAACATTACCCCCTCATTCTAACAGAGTCACAAAACTTAGCTCATCACTGTTGTGATTTCTAGTACACCGAAAAATGTGCCAAAAAAATTAGATTTTAAGTGCTAGAAAAATACACAGAAAATTAAAAACTTGTGTTGGTGCGATATACTTGTTGCAGCAGCAAACTTTGAGGCGTAGTAGAAATCACAGCAGTGATGAGCTAAGGTTTGTGACTTTGTTAGAATACGGCTGTACATCTAAGGATTTACGGCTTTATTCTGTATCAGTGACAAATTCTTGTAAATTTTTGTTTGCGGAAAAATAGATCGTCGTTGCGCCAACAAAAACAGTTATGTGTTTTTAATAACTTTTCAGGAGAGCAAAAAAACTGATTCCTGGTGCCAATAGGCAATATTTTGCAAATGTCGTATTAAAAAAAATTTTATTAAAGATATTTTATTGATTTATGAAAAAAATCAATTTTTTGACCAATTATGACGGGATCAACATTTGCGCCGCTCTAAAGCACATATCTATTTTTATACACGATTTAAATTTGTTTTTGGCGGTATGGAATCGTATGCAATTTGTACATAATACTCCCGTTAGGCCTAGATGCAATGTATAGAAGTTGAGGACTCGATTAGTTAACTGGCCGTTGCTCCTCACTCGCAGTTTGATCTTTCGAGCGTACGTACGTGTTGTCGGTATCGGTGTGCGAATTTTCAAGTGTTTATCGTCGAATCGTCGTTCTGTCGTTTGGTCGCGTATTGATCAGTGTTGTGACAGTGTTTGCAGTATATTGTTTGCCGCTGCGAACAATTACTGCTGCTGTGAGTTGGGTGTTCCGTCGTTCGTCGCGTTATCGGTCGTGAGTAGTAGTGCATTGTTTGCCGCTGCAACAATTGCTGCTACTGCGATTTGGGTGACCTTGAACTTGCGTTGCGTTTTCGTTTGGAGTCATATAGTAGCATTGTTTTGCCGCTGCATACAATTGCTGCTATTGGTGATTCGTCGTGGTTGATCGTTTTTTGCTTTGATTGCCCAAAACACCCAGTGCCTTGTGCCGCTGCCTTGTGCTGCTGTTGTATTTTCGGTCCGGTGCGAGTCGGTCGATTTTTTAGTGTGAAAATTGGTGTTCCGATTACGGTTCTTTTGTTGGTTGGGGTTTTTCGCTAGTGTTGTGAACCGCTAAATTTAGTGGGTTCGTCTTTGGAATGGGGGGCATGGGGTTAGATACCGCGAAGAGGCTGATGGAGTTCTCCTCAGAGTATGAGGAGCTCTTAATGACGTCAATAGCCGAGAACGCCCGTCTTCGTGGTCAGGTTGNAGATACCGCGAAGAGGCTGATGGAGTTCTCCTCAGAGTATGAGGAGCTCTTGATGACGGCAATAGCCGAGAATGCCCGTCTTCGTGGTCAGGTTGAGGGGCTTAGGGGACAAAATGGCGGGGCTTCCCAGCGTGGGGTTGCGCCTCTTCTGGCGGAATCGGCTGCGATGCCGGCACCTTCGGTGCCTGCACCGCTGGTGCCTGGATCGGAAGCGGCTAAGCAGTGGGAGACGTGGTCTGCTATGGTGAAGAGCAAAACGGCTGCGTCCTCTCAGGATGTGGTTAAGAAGGTCTTAACCGAGGTGGGCCCTTCCTTGGGTGTGAGGGTTCGCGAGGTGAAAGCCGTGAAGAATGGGGGGAGGGGCGATGNAAGCCGTGAAGAGTGGGGGGGCGATTCTTCGCACACCTTCCCTTGCTGAGAGGGATCTGGTGGTTAAGAATGCGCGCTTCTCAGAGGTTGGGTTGGACGTAAGCGTCAACAAGGAGCTGGGACCTAGGGTTGTTGTCCAGGGGGTTCATACTGAAATCCCCCCTGAAGAATTCATGGGGGAGCTGTTTAGGCTGAACCTCAAGGAGTTCAACCCTGGATGCCTTGAGAAGGACGTCAGGATGGTCAGCCGTCCATTGAAGGTGACTCCGGACTAGTGTTGTGTTGGAGGGTACGGACGTGTTGATGTCCGCCCTCCTTGCAGCAGGTAGGTGTTACATTAAGTGGTTCTCCTTTCGTGTACGGGAGGATATGCTGACGCCCTGCTGCTACAGATGTTTGGGCTTCGACCATCGGGTGGCTCTCTGCAAAGCCAAGGCGAATGTCTCTCGGAGGTGCGGACAGGAAGGGCACCGTGAGGCGGGTTGCGGTAATGCTCCGCATTGTCGTAACTGTGCCTTTAAGGGCAAACCGGCTGGTCACTGTATGGTGTCGACCGCTTGCCCGATTTATGGAGCTCTTGTTGCCCGTGCTCAGACATTGATTNTTCGACCATCGGGTGGCTCATTGTAGAGCCAAGGGGAATGTCTGTCGGAGGTGCGGACAGGAAGGGCACCGTGAGGCGGGTTGCGGTAATGCTCCGCATTGTCGTAACTGTGCCTTTAAGGGCAAACCGGCTGGTCACTGTATGGTGTCGACCGCTTGCCCGATTTATGGTGCTCTTGTTGCCCGTGCGCTTCTCAGACATTGATGATGGAGCGACTAATTCAATTGAATTGTCAGGGTGCCTATGCCGTCATGTGCGACGTAGGTGCATTGATGTTGGAGGAGAGCTGCGGCATTGCTATGCTTCAGGAACTTTATGCCACGCACGGTGTGGTACGGGGCCTCCCTGGGGGTTTCAAGGTTTTTACAGACCTGTCCAGATCTGTCCCAGCTTAGGTGTCAGTATAGACAGGAAATGAAAGAGTATAAGAAGCTGCTTGTCAAGACGAAGGAGGATGACTGGCGTAGGTTTGTTGGTGAAAATAGGGACGATCCTTGGGGACAGGTTTATAAGATCTGTCGGGGTCGTCAAAGTAGTGAAATCACTTCTCTTCGCGTTGGTAACACTACGTTGTCAGCGTGGGGGGAGTGTGCAGGGGTTCTGTTAGGAGCGTTCTTTCCGAGGGCGGAGGTGCAGGTACCTTCTGCACAGGAGGTGCCTGTACCCCCACTAGATGATGAGGAGCTGGGGTATGCGTTTGGCCTGGTGAGGTCTAAATGGTCTCCAGGTTTTGATGGGTTGAACGGAGAGATGTGCAAATGCTTGTGGAAGTTCATCCCGGAATACTTGGTGGCCATTTATGATAAGTGCATATGGGAGGGTTATTTTCCACGTGAGTGGAAAATTGTTGGGTTGTTCCTCTTCCTGAAGTCGCCTGATAGGATCAGGAGTGATCCTGCATCTTATCGGGGTATCAGCCTCCTTCCAGTGCTTGGAAAAGTGCTGGAAGGGATCATGGTTGAGCGGCTTCGGGAGTTAACGCAGGATAGTATATCGGATAGGCAGTATGGCTTTAGGAAAGGACGCAGTATAGAGGATGCATGGTTGAATGTTCAGAGTGTTGTACGGGGGAGTAACAACAACTATGTTCTTGGCATATTTGTTAATTTCAAGGGCTCTTTTGACTACCTACGGTGGGACAGAGTCATTGAGCGCTTGGAAGAGTTGGCTTGTGCAGATATGGCTCTCTGGCGGAGTAATTTCTCCGATCGCAGAGCCACCATGGTTGGTTTTGCGGGGACTGTTGAGGTTGATGTGGCTCGTGGCTGTCCGCAAGGGTCCATCAGTGGTCCATTTATTTGGAACCTTATGATGGATTCCCTGCTTTGGCAGCTCGAGCCAGTCTGCGGCTTTAGTGCGTACGCTGGTGACCTTCTCGTTTTGGCGGAAGGAAATTCCAGGTCAGACATTGAGAGGCAGGGAGAATAGCTGCTTGATATCGTTGGTAGCTGGGGGCAACGTATGGGGTGGACATTTCGGTTGGCAAGACGATGACAATGTTGCTCAAGGGCAAGCTATCGTTGGGACGTACACCGGTAGTTCGTGTCAACGGGGTCAGTCTTAGATATATGACGCAAGTCAGGTATTTGGGGCTGACCATCGGGGAACGCATGAGCTTTGCTCCCCACTTGGTGTGCCTTAAGGAGCGTCTTGTTGGTGTTGTGGGAAAGGTACGTCGCATCCTGAGATGTGACTGGGGCCTCGGCCGGCGTGCTGTTCGTGCCATCTATCGGGGCCTATTCGTGGCTTGTGCCACTTTTGGGTCCGCTATTTAGTACGAAACAGTTATGAAGGTTGCAGGTCGCCAGAAGGTACTATCGTGTCAGAGAGTATTGTTGCTGGGTTGTCTTCCGGTGTGTCGCACTGTCTCTACGGATGCACTTCAGGTATTAATGGGAGTGCCTCCTCTTGACCTGGTGGTTATAGCGCGAGCTGTGACCTTCAGGATGAGAAGAGGCATGAACATGTTGCCGTTGACTGGGTGGATTTCGGACGGTGACTTGGAGAGGGGCTATCTTGAGTGCAAACGGTTGTTGGATGACAGAGTGCGTGGTGTGTGGCAGGACCGTTGGGATGGTAGTTCCAATGGTCGTGTTACATACCGCTTCATTCCGAGTGTAGGGTTTATAGGAGAAAATCCAGACTTCGGGCATTGCTTGAGTTTGGATTTTCTACTAACGGGGCACGGTCCTTTTAATGCTTATTTGCGGAAGAGGAACCTCCATGACTCTGAGGGGTGTGAGTGTGGAGCGGAGCTTGAGGATGTCGAGCACGTGCTTTGCGAATGCCCGAGATACTCGGACGTGAGGAATCTCCACTGCGATGGAAAGATCAGGTGGAGAAGGACTTGGCTTCACTTGGCGTTTCCAATTGGCGTCAGTTGGCACAGAGGAGAAACGACTGGCGTGCTTTGCTGAACTCGGCCAAAATCGCTTAGGCGGTTACAGC